GAGATTGCAAAAGGCCGTGTACATTTACCTAAACATTAAGTACACAGAGTGAATATTACCATCTTAACTGTCTCACGGTGACGTTTCTTTGCTAACCTGCCTATTACGTTGTACATAACAATGTAATATTACTGAGCATTGGTTGTAGAGCCAATTTTAAACGGTAACAAATAATTAAGAAACTAAAAACGTATAAACTGATACTAAAAATTAATTCATGTAAAAACTACTACTCAAAAACCCGCCATTTTTAATCGACTTCGAAAAAAAGGAGGAGGTCCTTAATTCGACTGTATTTTTTTGTTTTGGTGTGTATGTTACGCCATTACGAGTCCGAGTCAAGTTTGTAAAATATTCCGCCTCCACGGGTGGCAAATTATGGGCTGATTCCGGTTCTCGCACTTTCCGGTAATCGATTGTAAACTTTTTAGTTTCAGGGGGCCTACCACAACCTCTTAGAACAATATTACTTTAGCCTTACATTGACTTTTCGTACCATTACGTGCTTAAAGTAAGCTTATTTGTAATGTTAATAATATGATGTTTTACTGGCAGCTTTGTGACTATTCAATCACTCAGTTCGTACTATGACGCGACCTTGACATTAAAGTAATATTGCTCTTATGTCAAATTTAGCAATCTTAAAATAGTTACACGGATGCAATGGAAACAATATTATTTTCAGTTTTGTTGTCTTAATATTGATTTGTAATGATTAAAAGTTAAGTTGAACTAATTTATTTACGTATATCTCTTCAATATTTTGTTGATTTTTTATTTAATAGCACATAGGAAATAATTTCTCGTAAACTAAAAATACGTGATATGTATTTCGTAAAATTATGACAGCGCCATCTATATGCTCCTTGGCAAAACCAACAGATGACACTAGACCATGGTTCCGAATTCACAACGTGACAATCAAGACTCAGCTTGTTTTATTTATTTTTCTTCATGAAGATGCGGAATAATAATTGAAAACACCGTAATTTTAACATATTTCATTGTTACTTTTCTTTTTTTGGCAGTTAAAATTCTCTGAATGTAAATAATATTAAGTACTTTAACATTAGACTACTATAACACGATTCGGAACATCAAAAAAGAAAAAGATGGCATTATTACAGTTCATAAAGAGTTATTTCTTTACTGCTTTTAGTAAGGAATACAATATTGGGAAATCATTCGTTCTTTCAGTCACTTTAGCAATAATACATTACTTGGTTGATAGGTTTGTCATGGTACGAAAATGAGTAATATTACAATAAGCTTACATTGAAATAAGATTGTTTTTGGAAAAGTTATAGTAGACCCCAGTTTGTTGTACTGTATATTTAACTGGCTCCGTGGCCGAACGGTTACCATGCCGGACTGTCACGCAGAGGTCCTACGTTCGATTCCCGGGGCGAGAGAAATATTTGTATGACCTACATTTATTTCTCTCGTGAGTTTGTGGTAGTTTATGGTGTAATTTGTGGTAGTCTATGTGTGTGTGTGTGTGTCCATGGCACTCGCGACACAGGGTTTCCCTAGTGCAAGGCTATGTTGAGTGTGTGCTTGTGTGCGTTATTGTTTATATTTTTTTATACTAAGGAGTATAAAACTTGTCTAAAAATGTCATTATATTCAGTACTTGATAAAAGGAATAGAAGATCTTTCTCTCCATACACCCTGGATCCCTGCATCAACATCATTATTATTTGACAAAAATATTTATTGAATAACTTTTTTTATTATAAAATGAGTTTTTTTAAGTACATTAATTTTTTTTTCATTGTATTGTCCGATGGTAAAAGAGCGTGACGAAGTATAGTAATAGTATGTACGTATGTATGTGTTAACTAAATGACATAACCGATATTAATTGTGCTCCACAACAGAATGTGTAACTTCCTCGAAGTGTATCGGATACTGCTTTTTCCAATTGTTTATTTCAGAATGTCTCCATATCGCGTTGGTAACAATTATAATCTTATGTCTAAGTTAGTAAACACACAAAACCACAGATTTAAATTTTAGTCAATCCCGTCTCGCTGACATGTGAAGGGCTTCTCATACATTCCCGATGCACTGCAATGCCGCGACAGCCCCAGGAACATCCAGAATGCGTTGTTTGTTATACTGGACTCGTAGGGCGCTGTAAGCCTTTTGAGTATAGTTGATCCAAAGGCTGCAAGTGTAAAATGATTGGCAGTAAGCTCTAAAGAGGACAATTTTTACGTTCATATATTTATAGAAATTTTTTGCGTTGCATTCATTGAAATGTTTTTTTCAGCTGCGGTGTAATTGCTGCTGGGCCAGACTGCCAAGTGGTGAAAGGTGACCTTAATTTAAAGTATCCTGATTGTTGCTCAAGTGTAAAATGTAGTAACCGTAAAACAAAAGGACCAATAAATACTTTACCTACTGTCCCACCATCGAAAATGTGAACCAGATATCTGAAGTACATTATGTACCATATAATTAATGTTCATTAAATTTTTTTAAATGCAATGCGTCATTATTTCACTTAGGTATTTATTGTCAATGTAATAGGCTTCCACTCGAGCTTATAAGAATACTATAGATTATTCATAGTAAATATTCACGTTGTATACAATAAGATGTTATCAGCTGCAGAGTAATAAAGACAACCTTAATTCCCGCTGTAAGCGCAAAACTGGTATAACATATATGATTTTTTTTTGTACAATATTATCTTAAATTATACTAAAGTACAAAATTATTTCATATTTGGATGCCATTATCATGAATAAAAATACTTAATTATTATTGCGTAGACCTAGAAACATTCCCACGTACAGTGAACAGAAAATTTCACGCACTCTTTCAATGGTTTCCTGTTAGCGAATCTATGTATTTCTACTAATAAGAAAGAGCAATTTCTCAAAATATTTGCTAATTCTGAAAAAAAATTTATTAAAACTAATAAAATATTGTCATTACAAAAATACTGCTTCTCTTTTTCTAATACAATTTTACTCTTAACTTTATTCTACCTTTGAGACAAATACGTTCACTTCAAGGTTTTATTTCATTTCTAATCAATTAATTGGACATTACTTACATCAAGAAATTTTTACCTCTTACATCAAATTTAAATAATCTTAAATGAATTCAAAATTTCTTGGGTGTATTTTAAGAAAATATATTCTTAAACAAAAAAAGAAGTAGTTTGCTATTCAGATTAATATTCTAAATTCTAGAGTATATTCTTAAAGCAACATTTCGTAGCGTTTTCATAGTCAATGTTGTCGTGACATGTCGCCGAAGGAGCACGAGGTAATGATTACTTTTACTGTGCTTGTAACCGTAAAAATCATAAACAGTCATTTATCCACAGAAACAGTACGTAGTATCTCTAGTTTGTTAGGGTGTTACTTGTAGTCATAATTTAAGAAATCTGGTTACAGCATGAAATCAAACTACACTTGTAACAAGCACAACTTTAACATGCAATTAGTTCCATCACACCACTGCTAGATGGCATTAGTTGTACTCTGAAACGCGCTATCGGTTTGTTAACTTCACTAATATAAAGTCATCTCATATATATGAAATTTTTAGTTTAGGGGTTATGAGCCTTCAGCTTGCCCATTTTCTCCGGTGGCGCAGTAAAGGCCATCAGCGGCCAACTGCAAAATATCCTTCAAAAAAAAAAATAGGAATTTTTAGTGCTTTCTGCCGCTGTAGCAGTGTAGCATTTATACGGCACTGAATGGTCCTCGCGTATTTGAGAAGATTCTGTCCTATTTCTGCTACTTTAAGGTTTGGCACTGAACTGTGTGTTTTCACGCCATTGAGACGTACTGTTGGGTCCATAACCCTTTAAATTTACCCTTTTTGATATTAGAAAACATAAATCTTCAGTCAAATAATTAAGTACCTCTCAATTTTTCATTCTTTTGTTTTTCAAATCAAAATCAGACATTAGAAATGTCCGATTTTGTGTAACAAATAAATATTTTGTTGAATCTAGAGTGACTTTGTGACTTGAAGTAAATTAATTTGCTCTTGGATTAAACATTTCTGTCTTGTAACTAAAATACACTTTTGACACGATTTTTTACTATTATCAAGTAATTATTCTCTAGCGTCTATAGGGAGAGGATCGTTTTGTTGGATTTAATAAATTTGTCTTCATAAAAAGAATTTTGTCTTTTTCTAAGTAATCTGTTTTTACCGTGATAATAAATAAATAAATTTAAAACTATACGTACATACGTGACACAGATACCATGGTTCTGGTACATTCTAGCCTCACACCACACCTGTTTCCACAAATAATGTATAGGCACAATTAAGTTACTTGCACCAATAAACGCATAATTTATAAAAGTATGGAGGTAGTGAGTCAAAAATGATATACTACCTGCTTCACCGCTTATTGTTAAGGTAATGCTTTGGAACCTAGGTGAGCCATAGTTGACGTCACAAAAATGTTGTCTTCATAACGTATCGATGGCATACACTATAATGCTTGCCATCGCGGGGAAACAATTTGTCAATCGGGCGTATAATGTAAATCTACCAATCTTTAACACTGTCCCAATGTATGACACTTCTTAATTTTTTTTTTAAATAAGAAAACAAATATTGATATTACTCCAAAATCGTGTTAAATGTACTAGTAATGGCATTATCTGAATTGCGTTTAGAAACTTTCTTCGATTCACTCAATATTTTTTCAGTATGGCGATATTTTTTTTTTGCGTGTGGAAATTCTCCTAGGATACCTCTCCGCCGCGGGGGCCGGACTTCTACCGACTAAAACCCCACGGTGGCCTTCTCGGGTGCTCTAGTGGGAAGGATCCGGGATCGACTTTGCGCACCGGAAACCCAACCTAGGTGGAGCTACGTCTTTGCCCTCCACCGCGTCAAAGGATACGGTGCGGTGTCCTCGTGCGATCCTTATGGCCATGTGGCGCTGCACGCCATTGAGCATGGTTCTGCAACGCCGGACACCCGTCACGTGTTAAATACACAGTACAACAAACTGGGGGCCTACCATAACATTTCAAAAACAATTTTATTTCAATGTAAGCTTTTTATAATATTACTCGTATTCATACCATGAGGAACCTGTCAACCATGTAATGCATTATTGCTAAAGTGACTGAAAGAACGAATGATTTCCCAATATTGTCTATTCCTTACTATAAATAGGAAAGAAATAACGCTATATGAATTGTATAATGCCATGTCTTTCTTTTTTGATTTTCCGAATCGCCCTATCCTAGTATAATGTTAAAGTACTTAATATTATTTACATTCAGACAATTTTATCCGCCAAAAAAGAAAAGTATATAATAATGAAATCTATTAATATTACGTTGTTTTTAACTATTTTTCCGCACTTTCATGTAGAAAAATAAATAAAACAAACTGAGTCTTGATTGTCACGTTGTGAATTCGGAATTGTAGTCTAGTGTCTGCTGCTAGTGTCGCCAAGGAGCATACAGATGCCGCTCTCATAATTTTACGAAACGAGTATTGCGTATTTTTATTTAACGAGAAATTATTTCCTTATTACTATTAAATAAAAAATAAACAAATTCAATTTTTTTTCTTTCCATGCCTGCGAACGTATTCCCCGAACGCTATAACATTGACCTTTTCAAGGCGAGAGTGAATAGGCTTTATTTAGATGTGCATGCTACATCGTCGACCTCATCATCGCCTTTCATCAGGTGAGATGGAGGTCAAATGCGCACTTATTTTTGATAAAAAGTAAACTTAACTTTTAATCATTACAAATCAACATTTAGACAAATAATTCGAAAATAATATTGTTTCCATTACATCCGTCAACTATTTTGAGCACTAATCGTCTGTGATTTTCAGATTGCTAAATTTGACATAAGAACAATATTACTTTAATGTTAAGTCGCGTCATAGTACGAACTGAGAGAATGAATAGTTTCAAAGCTGTCAATAAAACATCATAGTTGTAACATTATAATAGCTCGCTTTAAGCGCGGCATGGTACGAAAAGTCAATGTAAGGTTAAAGTAATATTGTGTTAAGAGGTTGTGGTAGGCCCCCAGGTTATCCAAGTTGAAAACGCGTTAGTGTTCTTCCAAGAATCATTAAGACTTTTACTAGTTTGAGTGCTTTTATTAGTAGTAATTTTGTTATTTATCGGTAAGGGTGTAATAAAACTATTGGATACCTGTATAAATAATTTATTTTGTTTATGTATTTATTGATGTATATCGTTTATATGCTATTTTATCGGCATGTCAAACACTGGTGCAAAATTTCAACGTTTAATAATTGTTGACACCCATGTCAAGCACTCGTACTAAAGAATATGTTTTAAAACTTAATTTTCACAATTTGGTAAAAACGGAGAACGTGAGTTTGGATTACTCTGTTAGTGACAAGGTTCTGTGGGCAGCCAAGAAAAATCTCTTTTGATAGAAGCAGTATATACATTTTTTTATTGAAAATCAATAGCGTTTACAATATCATAAATATACAAAGTAAACCTTAAAATAGTACACCCAATAACAGGTTTTCTAGAATAAAATAACATAATATACATAATAATCGATATATTCAAAATAAGTAAATAAATATTGGACTATTTACTGGTATTAGTCAAGCGAGCTAATGATTCCTTTTTTAAATATTGCCTTAAATTGACAAAAACCATCGTACTTTATTTAGTAGATATTATTGACTTGAAGCAGCTTTGTTTTTATGTGTTTGTTTAATGAAATGTTGCCTTATTTTGTTGGGGATAAAATTTATGTTGCATTGCTCGCTTGAATACAGCGCCGCACCGCGTCGCGTAGCGTCTCCGCGGTGTGAATCAACGCTTAGGAGCGTGGAAATTATAGTTAAGTAAGACAGAATGGAAAATAAAGTGTGATTTATTCCTGATCGAGAGTTTCACTACAACAAATACACCCACCACTAAAACAAATATTTTTTTTACGTAAAGTTCACATTACCTAGCATTCTAGTGTAGGTTTAGTTACATGCTGTTATATATGAAGAACTTTTATTTTACACACAAAATTAATCACCCATTTCACAAAAAATATAAAAATTATCAAATACAAATGGGTTTGTAACCAACCTTATTTTCAAAGATGGCGGTCCCTGCGCGGCCGTACCCGCCAGCTTTTTTCATACAAAATTACGAAACTCGGAAATATTACTGAATCCTGCATGTAATGAAAACGTAATGTGTTATTCTAGTGTATATTTGATTTAAAATTAGTAATATAATATTATTTTGCAGGAAATGAAATCAATATTTATATAATGTAATCATGAACAGGACCGCCAATGGCCTGATTGAGTAGCATCAAGTTTCGAAGCTGCTTTCTTTTAGAAATATTTATGTTAGACTATGTCTTATTCTACGACGTAATTATGTTATCAATTAATTAATCAAATTCATAAAAAACGCTACTTACGGTATGTTTTCACTAAATAAACACCTAAATCACCAGCCCAAACAATAACAATCACACGATTGTCGTGACGTATTTTTGAAGTTGTTTATTTTTTTTAAATGACAGACCCAGGCATTAAAAACTTTATGGTTTGCTAGAGTAGTTACCGA